GATCACAGCTAGTATTAACAAATATAGAAATATAGTAGTGTCACCGTCGCGGAAGGGATCTTGGGCATCCTCGATTCTACTGGGCTTTGCGACATATATGGCGCACTGGCGCTAAGCACTTGTACTTATCACCTTTTTATAACACTCCTACTATTACTACACTACAAGTGTTAATTATAGTATTATCAGCTAGCTATACAGGAGCATCTGACGTGATAGTATTAGTAGTTGCCTAATCACGATTATGGGGGCACAGTTATCAATGCGCGCGAGATTATGACCATGTTCGCTTCTTTTATAGTCTGTATTTTTCAACTTGTTTTTTCAGCCGAAACATTGTTTTTCTCTCACAACAAATCAACCAAAATAGTGTTTCGGCTTCTTTTTTTCAACGAAGTGACTATACATGCATGTTGGACCGTATCCACTTGGCGACGATCTATATACTCCCTCCGTACACAAAAGAATACAATTCTCACATTTCGAAGAGTCAAACCTTTTGAACTTTAACTAAAGTTATATAAAAAAGTATTGATATTCATGATACAAAATAAGTACCATTAGATTAGCTATAAAATATATTTTCATACTAAATTTATTTTAGAGACATAAATGCTAATATTATTTATTATAGACTTGGTCAAACTTGAGCTAGTTTGACCGGCACGAATCCTATAGTTATATTTTTTTTTTGACGGAGGGAGTATATACATATATTTTTTTTTCTTATTCTTATATGTGACGGCTCCTTGTCTCCTTAGCACATGCATGGTCGTGCACACCTCTCTCCCCAGATCCAGCCATGCATCCTGCAGGGAGCCCTTCTTAACTGAGTAGTTGCATGGTTTAAAACTGGATCAGATCAGGTCATCGCACTAGTTGATTAATTATTAATGAGATTTGCTGCGAATTCATGAAGAACAATATAAGTATAGTGCATGCATGATACATGTATCAATTCCAAGGGATGATGTGAGTCACATGTACATGTGTTTGTGAAGGAAAGGAACAGAGCAAAAAAAAAAAAAAAAAGGCTGTGCACTTTACAATAGTGACGTGTACCGCCACTTGTGACGGCATTGAAAGGCTGGTGATGGGGCCCAAACGGCCCAAACGGCTCGGCTACCGCCTCCCTCCTCCTCCCTCGTCTCGTCTGTCCCCACTCCCCAGCCACCCATTTAAACCAGAGCACTCCCGAGGCCTCCTCGACCCGCCCGACGACTCCCATCTCCCAACGCCGCGACGCCTCCGCCTGCCCGCCCCGGACTACTCCCAGCCTCCCAATCCCACCGGCACCGCCGCGCGGGCGACCCCTCGTCCTCCACTCCTCCTACCTCCCTCCCCTCCCGCGCGCCGGAATGGCTGCGGGCTCGTCCGCGGTCTGGGCCGCGCAACACCACGCCTGCAGCGACGGCGGCAGGTTCCACCACCCGTCGCCGTCCCACTCCCATCACCGCCCGCGCCCCCGCTCCCGCTCCCCGCGAGGCGGGGTGGCGCCTCCCTCGCGCGGCAGCCTCGCCGCCGCCGCGCCCGCGGTGGCGGTGAGGACGGCGTCGGAGGAGGCCGTGTACGAGGTCGTGATGCGGCAGGCGGCTCTCGTGGAGGCCGCCGGCACCACTGCGGCGCCGCACCGGCGGCAGCAGCCGCGGTGGGCGGAGGAGGAGGAAGAGGAGGGGGTCGTCGGCTGGGGCCTCCTCGGCGACGCCTACGACCGCTGCGGCGAGGTCTGCGCCGAGTACGCCAAGACCTTCTACCTCGGTCAGTGCTAGAGCTGCTCTCCATTCCTTTCTTCTTCTTCAGTATGAGTGCTAGTGCTGCTGTTAACAGGCTAAATGGAAGCCAAGTGGAGCCATTTTGTACTCACCGAATGCGATTCTGGCGTAGTGCGTGCGATTGAGGCTCGCCTTTTCAGTTTTCACTGAATAGTCTCTTAAGAGTGTGATTAGTGCTGCAACGCGCATGAGGAAGTATCATCTCTGGACTCTCGGCAAGATAGGCAACTGCACATTTTTCCAGCCGGTATACGAGATCCTGCCGACCTCGGTAGGGAACAAGAAGATAGATAGTGCACGTGGGTGCTGGGTGCCATCTTCTATGTCTCTCTCTCAAGGGGACAAATAATCAATCAATCCTAACGGCTGTCTGCATTCTATTTCCTGGGTGTCGAATTGCGGCCGACTACTGGCAACTGGTATAGGTTTCTTGAATAAGGTTATGGTGGGGGCTTTATGCGATCTGGACACGCATGGGCTTGATTTAATCCCTTTTGTTTTCTACTTCTTTTAAGCGCGCTCTCTAGATCTCTCTGACCTTTATAATCGAATGGTTTTTTCTATTGCCTTGACCATATGGGCCTATGGGTAGCAGCAGGCAGCAGCTTCATGATTAATACTGAGATTTGGTCATTCTGATATCATTTATATTTTCTTTTCTTTTTGCAAGGATATCAGTCGTACCGTGTACCTTCTCGCGGCTCATGTTTCCCTTGTTTTACCTTTCAGGCACACAGCTCATGACTCCTGAGAGGCGCAAAGCCGTCTGGGCAATCTATGGTACGATTTACGCAGCGGGTTTACTTATGCCCTCGCTTGTGTGGAAACTAATAACCTTGTTGTTCTTGTTTGTGATGTCGTTGATTCTTAAGCAACATATGTTTTTTTTCCCTTGTGAAGTCTGGTGCAGAAGAACTGATGAGCTAGTGGACGGTCCTAACGCATCTTACATTACGCCGACTGCTCTTGACCGCTGGGAGAAGCGATTGGAGGATCTCTTTGAAGGCCGCCCGTATGATATGTACGATGCCGCCCTCTCAGACACAGTTTCAAAGTTTCCAGTTGATATTCAGGTAAATCTGACAACTGAAAATTACCACAAAACGTCTGAACTTCTGCTAAAAGTTGCTACATACCAGTAGATTTAGCAATTTAGTGACTGTTCTGCAACGTCACAGTTTCTTTCATTTGCAGCCGTTCAAAGATATGATTGAAGGAATGAGGCTGGACTTGTGGAAGTCGAGGTACAGGACCTTTGATGAGCTCTACCTCTACTGCTACTACGTCGCTGGCACGGTTGGCCTCATGACAGTTCCTGTCATGGGTATTGCTCCCGACTCAAAGGCCTCAACTGAGAGCGTGTACAATGCTGCACTGGCTCTTGGCATTGCTAACCAGCTGACGAATATTCTCAGAGATGTAGGCGAAGAGTAAGTAACGGCTTTATCCGCAACTAAGCATATAATTATACTACATCTGTTTGATACGGCGCCCAATAAATTTTTATATCAAACACTTGTGCGATACAATCTAGTCCAGGATTTAATATTCAAAGTGCTAGAGGCGTAATGTATTTGACTGTCTATTTGTTTGTGAACAAAGGAACCTGTGAGCTTGTCGCTGTTCAGAATATATATATATTTTTTGTTTCTTGATTGTGATGTAGTTTGTTTGTTGTTGTGGATGGAATTTCAGTGCGAGGAGGGGGAGAATATACCTTCCATTGGACGAGCTTGCGCAGGCAGGTCTTACAGAAGAGGACATATTCAGAGGGAAAGTGACAGATAAGTGGAGGAGGTTCATGAAGGGCCAGATTCAGCGTGCCCGGTTGTTCTTTGATGAGGCTGAGAAGGGCGTCGCCCATCTAGACTCTGCTAGCAGATGGCCGGTATGTGAGCCTAGAAATTCTCTCTCTTATTTATGTGCCTACGATTTAAATTTTTCAGGAGAACCGGTGTTTTTTTACAGGCTCTGAACCACTTACCCTTTATTTGGACAATTCTCTGGTTGCAGGTTCTCGCTTCTCTGTGGCTGTACAGGCAGATCCTTGATGCCATTGAGGCAAACGACTACAACAACTTCACCAAGCGTGCGTACGTCGGCAAGGCCAAGAAGCTGCTGTCATTACCGGTTGCATATGCAAGGGCAGCTGTTGCGTCATGAACCATCCCTAGAGCAGATTTTTCTTCTTCTTTTCCAAACCCACTTATTGTTTTTTCACCCTTTTCATTTTTTGCTCGGTCTCTTGGCTGTTGTATATAATCAGCTTCAGCTGCCTGCATGGCATAAGCCTTGCCTGTCACACTCAGGGGACTGATTCCATGTCCCTCAATACAAAGTCAGCTCTTGTTACGACAAGGAATGAGAATTAGAATTTGACAAAACGTGTTTGTTATGGATAACTGATCTGTGTGCATTTATCTTCAGAATCCAGGCTCACCAGCTGGATTAATGATTACTGTGAACCTCAGACGCTTTTCAGGTGCTGTTCTGTTTTGGGTAGATCACTGACCTTAATCCTACATTCTTAAGTGATGATGCAGATAGTGTTAACCCGATACTGACATATTTGATGGCCTGTGGGCTGAGGCTCTGCACAAGTTTGTCCTAGCTGTTGGCGACTGCCGAAACTGCCTTTCTCGACTGATCTGCCCTGCATTTGTTGGTTTTACCTGTGGTGCGGGCTTGCGGCTGATGCAGTGCAGACTGCAGTGGCCTAGAGCCATGGAAGTGTGCACGCGCTGCAAGTGGGCCGTGGCTGGGAGAGATGCAACATTGTCAGCCACATCCTATGATACACCAGGACGAAGGATGGTGAAATCTGAGCTGCATCTGCACCTATCGACGGTGCCCGGTTTTTCACCTTCAACTCGGAATAGCAAACAGGGCACCATGTGTATGTTGGAACATCAGGTAAATGATGAAGGATCATATACATAACAGAAAACATGACGATAAGACTGACTAGCATACATCTCTCTAACACAAATGATAGAAGGAACAATAGCATCAGGAAATTAACATGATTAAGGATGACATAGACCTTCACAGGCAGAGCTCCCAAGCTATACAGCACCACATCTGAAACCTGGTCAAGACCATACTGTCGATGCTAAAACAGCATAAGCTGCTGGGACCATTCTCCCGACTGTTTTTTTACAACACATCTAAACACTTAAATATCACTTTGCAGTGTTAATACTGGAAAGTACAAGCACAAAAACTGTATCATGCACCTATGCTGCCGAGCCAGAAGAATAGGGGGAACTGTGCTATTGCCATGAAGAGAAGGAAGTAGTGCTGTCGCGACGAGTGTCTCTCGCTGCTTCTCATCTCCGTGAAGAGCACCCTCTTCATCGTCCTCACCAGGAACACTCCCATGCACAGGCTCATCCACGGCATCATGACATAGTATGAGTATGCCCATACAAGCCTCGCAACGACAGCAAGTGAAAGCCCAGCAAATAAATAGCCGCCATATGCTACCAAGTCCAGTAGTGGCACCTCACCCCCACCCATTGAGTAGAGCAGGCCCTTCAGGATCATGAGCTGGAAGCCCCATCCGATGAGTGCCCTTGTAAAGTGCAGATTTATAGCTTCTGGAGTAAACCTGCACAAGTATCATGTACAATCAATTAGAGACATTATGTCAGAAGCATTTGGAGATTGAAGAATATAATTTTCAACAACTCACTTTCCCATGAAACCTAGTGTAAACCCTGAAAGAATGATGAAGCTTCCAAATGCCATGAAAGGGATGTACAGATCTGGCGCATTTATGTCATAGATTGGAGGTTTGTAGGACAAACGACCACCAACTGGCTCACTTATTCTAGTCCAGTGCCCCTGCAAATATATTGAGGAAATACAGGTTTATCATGGCAATCTAGATTGAGGAACCAGATTTGTATACAATGTTATTAGGAAATACTATGATTTACCCTGTGAAAGAATGGAAACAGTATAATTTTCAACTTGTTCCGGACATATTGATCATTCACATGGAAGTAATACTGTGGGTTGGAGAAGTATCTATTGATCTGCAAGAGTTAAACCAACAATTTGGAGAGAATGCAAGCAACACAAACAAAGTACAAGGTTTGTTGGAGGATCCATACATTGCTTTGCATGAATTCTGAACTAGAACCGAAGAACTTTTCCCCATATACTCCTATCCCAGATCTGATTAGACCTGAGCTTGCACCGTATAATGGATTGTCAAACTGGACAGGTTGAGAGTTCTATGGGGCATCTGAATCCCTGGAGGATTCCCATAATTATTATACATGGCTGCAGTGAAGAATGAGAGGTAAAAAAGAAGTTAGACCCAAATGATAGTATGATAATTCATCACAGAGGACTTGACATATTTGCATTCAATGAATAAATGAGGATATATACGACATTAGCATGATGTTACATGAATCGCAGTTAAATATACAGGAGCTATTTATGTCACTGCTAAGGCAGAAAGTTCTTCTGTAGTTTTGCTTAATCCCCAATCATATCATCATAAAAATAATTACATGCACCAATCTGTAACAACAGATATAAAAAATGGATGCAAAACGATAATGGAATTATTCTACATTCTACACTATATCTGGAAGAGATAATTTACAAACTGCAAAGATAATTGAGAAATTAAACAGATTATTTCCCTGAAGTATAAGCAAATATAAAATCAACTGGAGTCAAATTACAGTTACAGAGTCCAACTAATGTACTTGTGCACCGTTGACCTTTTTATAGGAAAAAAAAGGTGATACCAATCAAGATCATGTTCTAAGGCTAGCATCACCTGTGCATTACATTTATCGATAACTACAAGCAAAGCAACCACCCTCGTTGGAATGTAATGACGCAGAAACAACTGGCATATGTTCAGCTAATAGTTTGAGGAGTGTTTGACCGAGCAGAGAAATAGCAAACTATTCTTTGGCCTTTCTTTTCTATTTAGCTCATGGATGAGGCGAAGAAGAAGCGTTATGTGTAATAAATATTGGATTTCCTTGTTAGGTCTGTTGCTAGAGCACACAGAATTATACATAAACAGAGATATGAAAATGTTCTCCCCCTACAATTAATAAAGCGACAAATCTCTGCCAATTTTCCCTAGATCATAACTAGGCACTTCTCCCTGTTCCCAACTGTACGTCGTTTTAAATTTGTCCTAGCTTTGACCAAGTTTATAGAAAACCATGAACAGGTAAGAAGCTACAGTTTTATAGAATCCACAAACATTCAAAATCATGTTTTAAAAAAAAAACAGGTACAGGGTGGAGTTTTTGAAACTCCAAAAGGCTATAGTTTTAGCAAATACTATAGTTTCCGAAACTACAAACTCTGTTGCATCCACACGCTTCATTCATAGCGCTCCAAAACCATGGTACGTATAACAATAAACAAATTCTATGCACACAAACAGGGCCAAATCTTGCTCTATTTTGCAGCACCCGCACCTGGATTTGGTACCCCACTGATTCCTGTTCCAGGGGCCCAGGGCCCGTGGGTTGAACCGAGACCGGTCGATCTATCTCCCGCGCTGAAGAGCGAGCGAGCTAATTTGGTGGGCGCGCGGATCCTAATTTCGTAGGGCACCACGAACGAACGCAGAGAAGCCGAGCGAGAGATTTGGGTCCGATTGAACGAGCGAGGAATCGGCTCGGGAATCGGGGTCCACCGGCCACGCGAGATAGCAGGGCGACGACTTACTTGGGTGGACCGATGGAGGCGCGGCGGGCGGAGAGGGAGAGGGAGGGGGACGGCCGCCGGAGACGCGTCGGGAGCCTGCCTGTGCCTGCGGTCCGCGGTGCGGCGGGGTTCCTTCCTTCCCCTTGTGGCGGTGGGTCCACGCGATTGAAGGGAAGGAAAACTGTTTTGGTGGGTCCGGGTTCTTTTTCTTTTCTGTTTCCTTGGGCCGGAAGGGAGGAGACTCCCCGTCCCCGAGAGAGGTGGTCGCCCGTGCCCCACTGCCTGCGTGGCAAGCGATGACGTGTCCTCACGAATCACGGGCACGACTTTTCTGCGATGCCTCGTCATGCCCGTTGGTTGTGATGGGCCCGAACCACCTTCCGCTGATCAATTTGGACCATGATCGCCGCACGGAGGCAGCAGGCCTAAAGGCTCTTCTCAGGCTAGCTCCGTGGCAAGGTTTTTTTATTTTGCTTTAGGTCAAGGACGGCCCGTGGGCCAAAGCATGATCTTCGAATATATTTTTATTTTATTTTTTTTGTTCATAGAAAAAAATAAATGTATATTATATGTATCTACTGGTTGCCTTCAGCCGTGCGCCCGTGCAAAGCGGTGTGGATAATTCTTTTGAAAATGTGGAGAAGAACTTTTAATATCCATGCTGATATGGATAAATCCGAATTCAATTGTGTGCGGATACGGTTTAGGATATGCAGTGGACAAAATCCGACGAATGTGGATTATGCGTGAATCCTATGCGAATTATTCAATATTTAAAATAGGATATCCGATAATTTCTCGCTAGACTTAAAAACCGACGAATTTAGGGTTTAAAAAAGCTTGTCAGTTGGGAACTCTTATTTTGTGGTGTGTTTATTTTACGTTCTGAATTGAGAATTTTTGCTGGTTGTTACTACTTATTGGCTAATAACTTCTCATTTTGTGTGTGTGGATATTGTATTAGGTGTTAGTTGTGTCGGTGCAATAGCCGCAACATGAAATGCAATGTAAGATTATTGTCTTATTGGCTGTTTATTAAATTAATTTTTGACAAACATATAATCTATTGGCTCTTACTAAATTAGTCCTTCACAAACGCATAATTATCTACGTATGCACATATTACGCGACTATTTAAATCCATCTCCGATCCGATTTCGCTCCACATCCGTACCGTTTGCGACATCTAAAAAAAATCCACGTTCGCATCCACATCCGTGTATTATCCGCTCCGATCCAAATATGACAAAGAAAAACGGATTATAATATGTGATAGACATTATTCACTCTGGTCCGATTCGTTTTCATCGCTAGCCAGGACAGCCTAAAGCCTTTTATGCCGTGTCATGATTTGGGCCACGCCATAAGGCCGTGCATGACTCAGCCTTAAATAGCATGATCCAACTCCTACCTCTAGGCGTTTACTAACCAACAGGCGGCCGATTTGGCTTCTTCAACTTCGATCATAAGACTGAAGGGAGAGAGGTAAATCTGCGGTTCTAAAGAATGAGCAAACTCTAATCAGGTTGCTTATTGGGCTTGGCGACTCTCTTTTCTCGATGGTTCAGTGTCATATTGATGTGCTCGTTAGTACTAATTGACGATTATAGATGGTAGCAGGAGTATTGCTTGTCATCACAATCCAAGTTATCAATCAACAATAATGTGCAGGCTAAGCGCCTCGAAATATTTAGCGTGGAGTGTGGACAAAATTGCTGAGATGTACCAGCGGATATCTATAACGCGAACGATTTTACTGGTTAGACGGCTCTTTGAATCTATAGAGCTAGTATATAATTAGTAGTTAAATACCGACTAATTAATACCTTATTAATTCAGTAAAACCAGCTAATAGAAGCTACGAGGCTATTAGCAAGCTAACTATTAACAACTACCAGATCTAAATATAGTCTTAGCCTGACAGATCAAAATGGTCTAAACAGGGGTCCTACCGATATATAAACTCGCAAGTGTAAAATCATATTGATAAACCCTATTGAGCCCATATCCATTGAGCCAAACATCACACAAAAAGCAGGTGGGGCATGCAACCGTTAGAGCCCCACCCGTTCCCTTCAGGCGCTCGCTCACCCCCTCCACAAAATCAACCAAATCCACCAAAATCTCCCCTTAATCCCACCAAAATCCATCTTCCAGCTACGGATCCTCACCCACCTCTTCCTGATCTACCATCTGGTAGGTCTTTTTGCTCCGGTCATGGCTGCAGTTGGGGTGGCGCATCCTCTCCGGCGTGCAGCTGGCGGCCGCCGCCGGCCGAGCCTCCTTCGCCGGGTGCGGGCGGTGCCGTGGCTGCCGAAGCTGCGGGTGTGGACGTTGGCACGTCCGCCCAGTCGCCCGGGATGGTGGAGCTCGGATCCCAGGAGAACCCAGCGACGACGGATCCGCGCCAACCACCAACGCAGTGTTCGTCCCCGAGCTGGCGTCGCCTGCTCGCTCGAAGGGTCGCTCCAAGTGCCGACGACGCTCGAAGGGTCGCCCCACTCTCTCCCCCGATGCCGCCTCATTCTTCCCCGGCCACCTCTCCGCCGGCAGGTCCAAGCGCTTGCGTTGGGAGGATGGCTCTGTCTCCTGTGACTCCAACCTCGAGCGCTCTCCTTCCCCGTCGCTGCAGGCCGCGCGTTTGACTCGCTCGGGCGCTGCTCCCTCCTCGGCGAGCCCCCCACCGATGGCAGCTACGGCTGCGGCTGCCAACCCAGTGCCGCGGCGCCGCAGGCGACGTCGACGACATCACCGACGCCGCGGGCGGAGGGCTGCCACGGCCGCAACGGGTGACTGCGACGCGCCACGTAGGGGCGGTGCGACCCCGCCCTCCGAGGCTCCGCGGATCCCAGTTCAACTGCGGCTTGGCCCACAGAGCAGGGTATCCGCCCTTGATGCTGATGGGTGGCGGTGCATCCTGCCTCATTCTCCAAATCATCCCGTGGGCAACCAACAGCTGTGCCGGGGATGCGGTGAGGCCAGGCTTCAGCAAGGCACCCACCCGGGGGTCAGACCCCGGATCTTCCCCGCCGATTTTTGGGATAGGTGCTTCAACTGTCTATCCCGGACTCACCGGGTGGCCACCTGCCAGCTCCCCCGCCGCTGCCTGCGCTGCCGCGGGTTTGGGCACATAGCGTGTGACTGCAAGTGGCCGAGGTCCAACGTTGTTGCTACCACCTCCACATGCCACTCCTCGCCGTTGATGGGTGTATGTTCGCTGGGTGGCAGAGCATGGTCGTGGATTGGCTCGCTTCGCTTCGGCAGCGTTACTGTCATGGCCACCTCTGGGTTGCCCGCTGATTCATCGACGCCCCACGCACCATCCGAGATTCCTGCTGCAGGCGAGGTTGCCGTGCACTCCTCCCTGCCTCAGGTCTCCTTCAACGACTTCTTCGACCCCATCGCTTCCGAGATGCAGGCCGTGCCGGCCAATGAGCGATGGGATCCCATGCGCTCTGAGGGGTTGGTCGTCATGGAGAAGCCTTCGGGTGTGGGGGTCCCAGCAGGAGGGTCGCCCCTTCTGGCGTAGCTTTCTGGATCGCCTGACTTGGTCGTGCGTTGCTCCCCCCTGGGTAGGAGGCGGCCGCGGACGCC